GTGTGTGAGTGAAGGCAGGCATGTGGTGATAGCTTTTACAGCTCTACTGTGTAAGCTGCTGTGACCTGGAGCCTCCAAAGGTCGTCAGGGGTCAGGGGGGTTAATAGAGACTGATGTACGAGGCCCCAGTGACATCCCAAAGGGGATGGCCCCTTAATCCTTATTAGGCCTCTGTAGTGATCCTTACCTTTCAAAGCAAACAGCACGCTGCCTTTACTGAGGGGCCCGGCCTGCCCCCGGCGTTACACTCCTGACCCCGGGGTCGTGCCCTTTGTTCAAACCTCTTCAGAGTTTGACCTTTAGGGTCACGCTGTAATCGAGAAGTCGTCAAGGCGCGTGCGGCTGAGAGGCCCCGCGCGACCACCACGTAGACAGAGCGGAGCAGAGTTGGAGCGCTGTAGTCGTTTACGCAGAACAAAGTTCAAATCTAGAGTCCCAATATATTAATAGATGTAATTTTTTGATAAAAAAATATTTTTACAGGTTTAGTTCTCAAATAACTCAAAGGTCATGTATTTGACCCCATTGAAAAGACAGCAATTGAAAAATCTGTGTAGTATGTAATGATGACGACTGGACTACACATATTTCAATTTTAATAATTATATAAAAATTTGCAGTATTCCATGAGCCTTTTTAATGCTGCTCGTATGGTTCAGATTTATGAAAATAACAGAGATTTGACCAAAATGCCACTGAAGTGTTTTGCTTGGGCTGAAGAGCCGCACACAGGGAAGTATCTGTTTACTCACTGTAAATTATGTTGATGATATTTTTGTCAGAAACTGCAGCTGATTCAGAAAGACGTCCTCTTAAACCACCACAGAGTCACCACCAAACACATTTTATTTGAGGCAATAAAACAGTGGGCAGATGCAGGCTTATGTAGCAACCACTGATATTTGTAAAACACTTGAAACTCATTTATCATTAACGTATCTATCATGAATATTTGAAAAATGCGTTTACAAAGTGACTGACTTGCAACAATGAAAGGAGGGACATTGTTTGTATTGAACCTGCAGTTTGTTTGAATGCTGTGGTTGTGGACTCTTGGAGGTGTCACACATGGGACTGTTAATATTGGAGTTTCATCAATGGCAGCATTAGCAGAGCGCTCTAGCAGAGGCGAGGCCACGCAGAGGGCTACAGTGTCAGGAGTTGGCAACTGAGCCAAAACCAGAGCAGTATCCTCAAATGAACTCTCCACGTACGGTGCTAGTGACTCTGCCAAGTTTTTTGAATTCTTGCCACATGTTTCAATGGTAAACAACAGACCAACAGGAGCAGTGTCGTGGATAGACAGGCGACCAAGGGACTGCTAATTGCTAAAGAGGCATGCATTAGATGTCAGATTTTGACTTATAATCTGTGTGTAGTTCTGTTTTGTCCTCGCCGTCGTTGCTATTGGCTCGTACACATGGCGAGATGTGACGTCATTGGTCCTCGGATAGCTGTTTAGAGCGTGGTCACTTTTCAGATCAAGAAAGAAAGAATAACATAATATTTACTCAACCATTTTGTACAGTGACAAAGTGTAGCTATCTGGCATGCCTCCGGACTGGATTTCTCTGTAACTCCTGCTAATCTTCTCATCTCTGCTATTGTTTAAACGTGAATATGGCAGTACTGCAGTGAATACAGTGCACCTGAGTTATATTTGACTTTGTAGTGAGTCAAGGACAAGCGCTGCAGTGTAGCACCTTCCTTTTTGGTTGTGTGCAGTTTGAAGAGGCTGCAGCTTTCCCAATCACCATTTTTGCTTACTTACACGAATCGTTTTTACGTTTAAACAAAACTGCTTTTGATTTCTAAAACATTTAACTTGTTAAATACTGGTCAATAGTAAAAAGGACTAGTCATTTGTAATTCCCTTTTTATTATTCCCCTTTTGCTTGATGAATTCAGGGAGGAAAAATATCTATCCGGGCATATTCTTCTAGGAAAGACTCTGGAAAGGGGAGACAACATTTTCGCCATGGTAAATCTGTTGCAAATAGCTGAGGGCCATTACAGCATTCTGGCCACAGTGAGTAGGGGGGAGCTGGGTGGAGCCTTGCCGAGTGTGCGTAACCTTGTGCAGTGTGCAGAGGTGCCTGTGGGGTAGTATCGGTGCAAAAACATTATAAAGGTCCCCTCTTAACAGCTAACATTAACATTATCACTAGCTGTTCACAACATGGCTGTTTATGGCTACATCCTGTTACTGTGCTACGTGAAGGAACAGAAGGGGTGGGTGAGGGAGAGGACTGGACACTGAGCTGAATGAGGAAGGAGGGAGCTGGACTAAAGCAGAGGCGGAGGTGTTGTCCACAACGCGCCCAAAATCTGAAAAATGGGAAATGGAAAATGGGACACTATTGAATCAATACGAAAACTGATATTGAAACTACATACTCATTTTGAAGTATCGATATGAAAAATGTACATAAACTTGACAAATTGAATCTTTCCTGAAGAGTTTTAGACTGAGCTTCATCAGAACTAGTATAAGACCACATGGTAACATAAAGATAGTGATATAATTTTGTGTCAAGTACAGTCTTTTTTTAAATTATCATTGCAGTATTGAAATCGCCATTGACATTATTCATTAGTATTGAAATTGAGTTTGAAACAACACCAGTGGGCTGCTACTGTGGGCACGTCCTCACAGCGAGGTGAGGGTGGCTGTGTAATGGCACTCAGCGGGCGCACTGCAGTAAATATTACAGGTTTTTATAGCACAGTTCACTGTTGCAATCAAGGCCGGGCGGTCGCGCCCAGGTGCTTATCTGGCTTTGATTGTGCGCCAGAGCAGCCGGTGCAGTGCTCAGCTCATTACCGTGTTTGTGGTGGAGAGAAATATGGAGTCAGGAGGGCCGTTTTCCTTCATTTATCACAAACTTTGTTTATTTGGCACCCACAGTGAACACATAGAAGTGTTAATCTGGAAAAAAGTCAATATTATAAAGAGCAGAATCATTACAGTTCATAATTATCAGTCTGGTTTCCATAAGAAATAAACAGACAGTCCAAAGCTATACAGTAATGTGCTCTGATACTTGGCTGCGCAATACATCGCAATCAAAATCACATTTATGGCACAATTATAAAACAGCTATAATTATAGAGCTAATAGAACGTCTGCAAAGAACAAAATATATTTTTTTTATAGAAAACCCTTGTACCTCTACTAATATTCAGAAATTCTTGTGATTCTTTTATTAGTTTATCAGTTCATATTACAATCTTCTCAAATGTTAATACTTCTGTTTTCATGTATTGCAAATCTTATTGCAATCACAGTACTTACCAGAAAAATCGCTATTTGATTCTTCCCCCCCCCTAATCATGATGCTGCCCTAACTGATTCTGTAAAGTCTCCATTGAGCTTTTGGAGTCTTAGCTTCTTGAAAGACCACATTTGTTCTACAGTTACAAACTCTGCCATTGGATACTCCTAGTGTTTGAAATAGTAGTTGAAGTTGCTGTTGCTGTCCTCGTCTGAAATAATCTCTCTCTACAGAATCCTATCTTTATATACCTTTATATGTTTAATATATTGCAGATTTAAACACAATACTTGACAGAAAAATCGCAATTCGATATTTTTTCTCCATAATCATGATGCTGTTTGGAAGAGTTGAAGTTGCTGTTGCTGTCCTAGTCTGAAGTAGTCTCTCTCTCTCTCTCTGCCCCCCCCTGTTGGCCGGCCCCCTCCTACTCGCCTTGCTCATGGGCACGTCACCGCGATGCTGCTGATGGCACGCCGTACGTCCATGTTTCATCATCAGCTGAGCTCCCTCTCCTCCACTCACAGCGCGTTTCGGGGCCCTCCCCTCTGCGCGCTAGCCTCTTTTTCTGTCCATCTCTCTCCTCCTCCTCCTCTCCCTCGGTCCTGGCCACATGCGAGAGGGTAGGCTAGGACGCTGCAGCTCTGAAAAAAAGCGGGCAAAAACGCTCCGCTGCTATTTCTACTGGCAGGCCCTCCCCTTTTGCTGCTGTGTGCCAAAAGAGGGAGGGCTCTGTACTACTCTGAGTCCCAGGATTTTAACCCTGTGGCTTCTCTGCAAGATCTGCTCCTCAATATCGTGCAACAAGTGGCTTTGCTTTTACTCTTCGTTATTGCAGCGCCATTTTTCGAAGGCGGTTTGTGAGAGTCTGCGTTTTTTGTCTTTTTCGGGCATCGTTTGAAAACATTGAAAACTGTTTGTGCCTCTTTGGGTCGTATCCCGTAGAGTTAAACCGAATCGAGTGCAAGGTTTTGGGTTTTTCTTGTGCATTTGTGGTTTGCTTTGCTTTTTCGGCCACGTGCTCTTCCGTTCTGCGCCATGATTTCTTGTCTCGTAAGTGGGATCGTGCGCCCCAAACGCATCGCAAAGACAACCTTTCGTCCTCTGCGTTCGTATAGGACCGTTTTCGTCTTTTTTAGTTATTTTTTAATATTTTTTACTGAAACGGTTATCAAATTTTCGATATGATTTGCCTCATTTTTATGCTCTTATCTCCTTTGCCCTCTCCCTCTTTGGGTCTTTGCCCCACCCTCACTTTTCCTCCACCCTACTCTCTCTCTCTCTCCCTCCCTTTCTCTCTCTTTCTCTCTGTCTCTCTCTCGCTCTCATGGGCAGTCAGTGAAAGGGGAGCAGGAAGGCGGAGCAGTGACGGGCTTTTTCTTTCTGGGACAGGTGCCAATTTTAGACAAAAGACAACAAAAAGCAATAAAAAAGTATGGCGTAGCTCCTACTCGATTTGAGCATAACTTGTTGTAAATAGTGCTTGTTAGAAGTGTATTGGTAGCATGTGTAACACTTTTCCTCTTGCAGGAGTTGTGCTGAGATCCTGAAAGCTGTCTCTCTCTCTCTCATTTCGCCTCCTTCCTCCCGTGAAGGCATTTGAGTTTGGAGCGGGGAGCAGAGGGAGGGGCGGCTGGAGATAGGAAGGGGCAGTGGTAGGTGGAGCTTAGTCTTCTCTGCTCCCGGTTGGCTCTTCTGCATTATTCATATGCCCGGGCCATTGCTGCGATCTGACTGGCTGCCTGGCCTAGCATTCAGTCGACATTCAGTGGCTGTGTTTGCTAACATTCCTCATTCAAAGCCTTGTTAACTGCCAGACGGGAGGAACACGCGACTCCATGGGAAACCCACATGGCCTCCCCATTGTGGCGGGCCCTGACAGCAGAGGAGTGAGAGCAGCAGTTTTTAAATGTTAGAAAGCAGTTAGCAGGACTTGTGCGTGTTAGTGGAGGCTCTGGAAACTCTACTGGACTAAAGGTGGGCAGATTGACAGGGGGGAGATCCAGACAGCGGGGCAGACAGGCAGACGGGAGGCTGGCACTCTGCGACTCTCTGAATGGGGCTCTGCGCGCTGTGCCCGCCTACTCCTTGCAGGGAGTGCAGAGCTGTGTGACTGAATCCAAGCTCCTCTCTGCCCTTCTCCACACAGAACCTCCGGACAAACTGTGCTGCGAAGGGATCCCGGACAATAACCCGAGAAAGAGACTTCGCCGCTTAACCCGAGCGGACCGCCACTGCCCCTGTGCGCGCCCGCCGCCCTGACCTCTTCACGGGTAAGTCCTAGCTCTATGTGGGTGTGGAGTTCTGTCCATGTGTCTCCGAAAAGCTAGTAGGCAAGTCCTGCAGCTCAAATCACAAAATGTTGAAAAGAAGGAGATTCTCTGGACTAGTTCAGGTCTTTTAACAGTGTTCGGACGTTATCCACTCCTGGACTTGTACGTTGGTTGCTAAAGGACTAGCCACAGACTGGAGCATTAACTATCAGGCAAATCCGAGGGAAACGTGGCACTGCTTTCAAGTCCAAACAAACCGGGCTCATCTCTCCCCTGGTGTCCCTTTAGCTGTAGTTTTACCTTGTTTGGCCTTTCTGTGTGAAAAGCAGCTTTAGAGGAGCAGTGCAGGTCTGAGCTGCAGATGGGCTGAGGGCCAGACTAGGCCTGTATGAGGCCGAGCCCCTCCACCACTCTGTCTCTGCCTCTAAAGCTCCAATGTCTCTCCGTTCAGCATCAGACTTTTTACTATTCTTTACAACTCAGTTTTATATTTTCAGAATGTGAACTTTTAGGGAAAATGTAATGTCTAAAATGTGTCCGCAGTGACACGTGGCTGCATCAAACTTACATGAGGAGAGAATCATTACGATCATACTCATTTCTAGCGAGCTATAAATGCAAAATGCATAATATTGGTTTTAAAAGTCTGTGAACATGCATAAACATGACTATGACTTTAAGGCATACAGCGGCATGCATTTCCCTGTTTCTTTATTTGGTGGTAGCTAAGCTTAAGCGCACAGAAAAGAAGTTGTTTGTCATTTTCTATGATAATAACGATGGTAATGTTTAATCATGTGTATTTACGCAAACAATTTTATAAAGATCACAAACAGCACCATCGCCGTTCATTTACAAACCCATGTTTTGTGCAGATTTAAGTCTTAAATGACCACAATTACAGCTCGTAACAATAGTTAAATTGTACCCGCGGGTATAAATACAGTTACCTTATCCGAATTCTTAGCTGGTTTTTGTTGCCCTGTGTGAGGACACCCTGCGCTCGTCAGTATCGACTTTGGCCAATAGGTAGGAGTGGAGCTGTGTGACTCATCAGTGATAGCTACAGACGGTCCTCCTACGTTCTGCGCTTCAGGCCTGTTCAGACGCCATTGGTGCAGAGCCCTGAAGGAAACCCTCTCTCCCACGCCTCGGCTCGGACCCTCAGACCCCAGCCCTTCACAGGGTGTAAATACGTCAGCATTCAAAAAACTGCACGTCACTGTAAAACACCAATCAGCGCACACTGCAGCAAAATAATCAGACTAATTATCCACCATAGAAAATCCGGGGGCTCGGTTCAGCCATTTTTGTAAACAGGCGATTCTCTATATTTTCCTCTCTTTTTTCACCAATCTGTTTTAACGAATGTTAAACGGCTTTAATTAATGTACTTACTTTTTGATAAGAAAAAAGTTTATTTTTAATGCTATCTAATTTTACAAAATTTTACTTAAGCACTATATACAAAAAAATTAATGCAACTGCATATCCTGCTAATTATTTAATTAATTTTAATTAAATTTATTATGGGTTTCTTCATTGCTTGACCTCGCTATTCAAATGAATACAAACCTGTTGCTTTGACAAAACAAAAAAACAGTGCGCATTAAACATTTTTACTTAACAGCCTTAGAAGAAAAAAGAATGATACTTAAAAAGTTTAAAACAAAACTTAAATCAGCCTCTGTATGGTTTCATATGAGTGGAGGCACAGGAACTGGCTGGGACACATCTGATGGGTGAACCCCACAAAGAGCCCTGGTCTCTGATGAATGGGGTTCCCACGCCACTGAGCGCGCTCAGTGTTCACTCTGTAGACTCCAGAGTCCGAGCAGCACAGGTGCAGGTCAGGCCATCGACGCACACGCCTTCGCCAACTTTAGAGCACCTCGGCAATAAAAAAATCATATCTGTGGCGCCGTGTCAAGTTTAGGCACCTTTAAGACTTTTTTATCTAGTTTCTCACTTAACTCTCATACTTTAAACTACTTTATCTATTACTGAATAGTTCTCCAAAAATGCAATCAAGTTGAGAGACAAAACTGAAAGTGAATCTGGTGCTTGTGGTTTCCTGACCTCTCAGTTTCAGCTCTGCTCACCTACAGAACGTGTGTGTGTGTGTGTGTGTTTGTGTGTGTCGAGGTTTGAGTGTGTGCACTCATGCATGTTTATGCAAATTAATAATTCTTTGAAGAAGAAAGTTTGCTTTTCTTAATTATCAGTTCATCTTTTTAAATTTATTAAACATTATAATAATGCATTGCAAGTATTTGTTGCACACACACACTTATACACACACACACTCACACACACACACTTACACACACTTACACACTATGGTTTAAATACGTTGATGCTTTTTAAAATTATTTTATTATTTGTTCTATCGTTAACATTTACAAACGTTTTTTTGCTCCATTAATTTTAATAAATCGAGAACATATTTGTTTCGATTTCACCTTTAGTTCAAATGGAATACACCACCTACAATATTTTTTTACACAGCATGCACAGTAATAAAAATTATAAATACAAACCACATAAATTAAATATATTTTTGTCATTATAAAAAATGAAACTATTAATTCATATTTTATTGTAAATTAAATTATTGTATAAGTTGTTTTTTTTTCTGTACCATAAATACGACAGTCCCTGCTTAATGTATAGAAAGTCAACCGATCTTGAACGGAGTACACTTAAAATCCTGCAGATATCTTCCATATATTTGAGATTCCCTGACGTGCTGTGGCCCTGTGCTCTATGGCCAGTGTGTGGTGGTAACACAGTTCTATCTAAATGTGGACCTGTGATCTCTTCCACATCTGCTCCATGGGCCTTAATGATACACTCTGGAGCTGTTTGGCAAGTTTACTGGACACTGCTCTGACTCCCAGAACTCAACTCTGTGGAAGTGTGTGCAGTCAGTCGCCTATACACTCTTTCCAATTTAATAATAGTTTTTTTTTCTTTTACTTTCAGGAAACATCGTTATTTTGCTGCATTTATGTCACGGTAGGTGTGATTTTTTTAATCTATGTTTTGCGTTGCATTGTTTTTACTAGTTTAGATAGATAAACCAACATTCAAATAGAAATTCAAGTTCAGGTTTGAGTTCAAGTGACCTTTTTTTTTTTTTTTAAGTAGAATTCGTTTGCAGTTAGAGTTGACTTCCTTACACAAATTACACAAACGATATTTTCAGACATAAAAATTCAAATTATTATAAACATTAAATCATAATTCATAAGGTATTGTTTCTGTTAATACGTTAAATCTTGAGTAATGTTGCCTTTTACAATTAAAAATCAAACAATTTAAATACATAGACCGTAATGCTTTGCTCTAATTCACTGCACCCATGTGAAAAAATGCCGTAATTAAATGTTTTTATTAACGATAATTATGAAAATAAATAGATAATAAATAAATATTGTTTTGAAAATATGCACAATTTGAATATTGGTGAGTTTCAAAGTGTGTGGCCACAATCAACACACCCAATATTTTATTATGCAAAACTTGCGTAAACACACACACGCACATACACACACACGTACACACACACACGTACACACACACACACGTACACACACGCACATACACACACACTGTACTCGCTGTAGCATTAGTGGATCATCAAAACCCAACTTCGGCCAAAATGTTGTCTTATATTTATCTGTGTATACGTTTATTTGAGCAGGGACAATACATATTACAAGATTAGTAAAAAGTTACGAAAGTTAGAAGTGAAACCCTGATGAAACTTTCTGGTTCGTAGTGAAACTTTGGCTTTGAAAATCTAAGAAAGTCCAGTTGTTTTCGTTTAATTCGCTGATAAAAGTTAGAAGTCCACTTAAAAGCAGATTAATGGATGAAAATACAAACCACACACACACATAGATTTGTACTCAACAATGTAAGACAGCAACAATGACACGAGACAAGCACAACTAGTATATATTTAAATCTGTACGTTTAGGCTGTAGTCCCTCTGATAATCTGCTCAAACTAAATTAGCGGGAAAAGGAAAGCAAAGCCAGGAGCCTAAAGGTCAAATGAAGATTAGAGGGAAACAGTACACGACGTCTCACCGGCTGGCACCCGCACACTACAAAGCCCTCATTGTCCCATTTGAGCTGCGCGCCCCTGACACCTGTTGGTTGGTTTAGTGAACTGCAGCCAAGGCTCTGCTCAGAGGGATAGAGAGAGGTTTAAAGTGGTATTAAGGCACTTTTTTAAACCTTGAATGATAGAGATTGACATTGTTTATTGGTGTTAAGCAAGAAAAAGTCATTTGGTTGGGTTATACTTTCTAATAACTACACTTTAATTAGCCTTAATAAAGCATTAATAAAGTAGGCTTACTAAATGGTTAAGGGTTAAGAGTGAGTGTCAGGACCTTAATTAAGAAGTTACTTTACCAAAATATTCTTCATAAACAATTTGTTCATTATAAATTAAATCTGTTCAATCTTAGAGCTAGTATAGTGCAGTGTGTAAAAACGTGGTTGAAATAAACTGATAAATCATAATAATAAACTAATAATAATAATAATACATAAGTTTTATATAGCGCTTTTCACGGTAATACAAAGACGCTTCACAATAAAATAACACTAAAACAAACAGGACAGACAAAACAGTAATGAGGAGCAGTCATGTGTGGAGGCTGTAAGCTATGAAGAAAAGGTGTGTTTTGAGGAGTTACACGGAAACAATGTTGGTTTATTTTATTATGTTTAAAATTTCATGAATCATTTATGAATGTGTGTTGATAAAAAATCGAAAAATAGAATAGTAGTATCAATGTCTGAGATTCAAAAGAAGCCTAACTTTTAAAAATAGTGGCAAAGTTTTAAAAGGTAAAAATAAACACACTGACAATTAAAAATGCATTTCTGTACTATACTAGTTCTATTGCTGGTAATAAAAAATAAATAAAAAAAAACATTGTAAAACTTCTCAGAAAAAGTCAAATTTCCACCGTTTGATATTTAATAAAGGTTGATTTGTAGTAAGGAAGGAGAAGCCCAAGGTTTTGCTATTTCGGATGCAGAGGAGATCAGCAGACTTGCACGCAACCACCGTCACAATTTTGTCTTTTCGTGTCACGAGTTGTTTGAACTTTCTTACATCATTACTGGAAAAGTTCGCTATTACATAAAAATCAAATGTTAACCGGCAAAAAACATGGAGGTAGTTAACTTATTTCAGTTTTTATAGTTTTTCCCCTGTGCTGCAGAGACACAGGTTTGACTTCAAAGCCCGGCTTGGGTAATTTCACATCATTTTAGGAACAACTCGTGACAGTTTTACAGTTTGCATTGCTGCATGTGTCCAAATGTTTATGTAATCATGGCATTCAAAAGCGCATAGCTCCAGGGCATTCACCGTAAAGACCCTTATTAGTTCATACTGTCTCCGTATTGCATTTGACCACGTGGTTTTATAGTGGTTTTGATCTGTCTTAAGGAATAGAATATGTTTAAATGTAATATCATACTACAAAAAGCCATACGTGAAGAAAGTGTACATCAAAGAAAAAATATAAGATGAAATTTATTGATCCACAGAGGAAATCTCAAATCAGAAATGCAGCTGTTTATAGCAAGCAAAACGCATAATTTTTAATAATAATAAAAGGGAAAAATATGTTAAAGTACGGATTTAGTAGCTTTGAAGTTGTTTTAATAAGACAAAATCAAATCAAATCAAATGGAAAACCATCAATCAATAGAGGAAATAATCATGGTGTTAATCAAAATGTTGTGTTATTACCTGGCTTTAAAATGTAGCTTTGCACCAATATACAAATAGTGTAATATTCCAAAAATATAGATAGCAATTCCTGGTTTTTAAGAAGAAAAAATCCCTTAGTGATACATTTTTAAAAATTAAACTAAATAATGGGGGTGGGGGGTTCAAAATATTGCTTATAACAAGAAAATAAATGAATGTAAAGTCTGAAATTTAAACACCTACACTTAATATTAAAATTTAGCCTTTATTGCACACTGTACAGAATTAAACAGTGTCAATTAGAGATCAGTTATGCTTTTTTTTTTTTTTTTTTTTTTTTTAATAGTTATTTAGTTAAAATTTTTATTGAAACTCGAAAAATCTCCATTGTAAAAATCCACTTCACTGAACCTGTAAACCGAGCCAGCTTATCCAGCCCAGCTTTAGCGCACATTAGCTGTGTAAGGACAGCCGCCCTACAAAGCAGGGTCACGGTGCTCTGCTGTGTACCTTTACAGTCTTGGACTTGAAGTAGCCAGAGGAGAGATTTGTGTGGCATTTATGGGATAACCAGACTGTAGTAAAACAACCACAAACCAGTATATGCGTGTGTCAAGGGCCTATAGCTGAGTGAAGGGAGTTTTATGGATATAGACCCCACCTGGCCTCCCCCGTAAGTGCAGTGCAGCCCCAAGCGAAACCACAGTAACCACAAACTCCTCTGTCCTAAATCCTCAATGTGTCCTCCTAACAGACTTTAAAGGGCCCATATTACATTATTTTCTGATTTATGTTATAATGTTGTTTCCTCATCAAAAACCTGAACAGACTTGGAGTTTTGTTCCATTCACACATGTCTACCACACAAATCTTGAGTATTTAGGTATTTATTTCTTCTCTGAAACTGAAAACACTCTGTTCCACCCTGTCATGTGGTGATATACAGTATACCTCGATACATAGGCCATGATACGATACATATCTCGATACAGTGAGCTTATAATTCAATACGATTTGATATATTTCAAATTGATTCAATACGGTTCAGTAAAAAATAAAGGCTAAATCATGGTTGTGATACTTTGTGAAACCACTTTTGGTGTAAATTTAATATGAAACACCCATTTTAATCATCAAAACTGTGAAAATGTCAAATGTGTTGCATACATGAGTTTCCTTTGTCTAAACAAGTAACAAAATTGTAGCTGTAACAAAATAATTTAGTAAAATGTACCCAAAAAAAAACTCTTACCGATATATATCGATACAGCAGCCCAAAATATCGATTATGTATCATCACATTAAACGATACAATATATTGATATTTCAATATTTTTGTGCAGGAAATGCTCCACTGTGTTTTTAAATTCCATACACCTTCACTAGAATCATTTGGATAATTTCAGTCCAGGAAAAAACTATCTCTACTGAACAAAAGGTAAAAGGTATCTTTAAACTTGAAAACTACCACTACATGACATCAAAAGGTGGAACAGAGCATTTTGCAGTTTGGAGATGTAGACAGATCAATGAACCAGGTTACTCAAACATGTGTGAATGAAACAAAACATAATACTTGATCATTCAAATGACTTAAAGCTCACAAGAGTCAATTTTGTGTAATATAGGTCCTTTAAAGAACAAAATTACTGGTTTTCAAATTACATCACAACATGACCACTTTATTTTCATAATCGGTAATACAAAAATCAGCTGTTTGCCAGTATGATCTATGGCTATCCATCAGAGGGGCCGACAGCTACATGACGCTTTGTTGTGATGAAGGTTATGGTGACATCCTGTAATGGGGCACGTGGTAATTGGCTCCTAATACTTCTTTGGACACTACAGTTTTCATTTGTAAGTATGTTTACATCAATATTGCAATAAAATGTCCAAAATATAACATCATGATCTACAGATGTCAGAGATTATAACTATAAAGCAGACACAAGGACAGTACATTTTCTTTAATACAGATGGGGCCCAGCTAAAATGAATAAAATGCAGATTTTTTAAGTAATATGCTGAGTTATTGGCTCTTGTTCACTGATAGAAATGGTCAGGTTCAACATTTGCGAATTTTTCTTATGTATTTCTTACGAATACCGTGTAATCTATACGGAAAACTGGCTCTGAAACTGAAAAACTTGCTCTGAAACTGAAAAACTGGCTCTGAAACTGAAAATATTTAGATGTAGACTGTGATAAGATTGAAGACCACTGATACACTAACCCTTAAGCAGGATAACTCTGTTAAACTCTTTGAAATT